AAAATAATTTACCTGGAAAAAAAAATTCAAGAAATTTGACTTCAAACAGAAGCGTGGCGTGAAGAATAAATAATTCCATGGATAAAAGCATCATACAACAGATTTGGTGTTACCACTGCAGTGCTGTGAGCTTGGTTCTTACCTTTCCACACTGCAGCCAGAGAAACCTGTCCCTGAAATGATGTGGAGGGAAAGAAGGAATAAAGCTGCAAACAGCCCCAGTGTCCAGAGAGCACTATAAACAGCTCAAGAGACCTATCGGTAATAAAAATGTTACTCTATCGTTACAATGCACTTAATTTACATACAGCACAGCTTCACATCTGTCATTTCAGTAGTCAAGGGAGCATAAAAGGTGTTTTTTTATTCATTTCATGCTGATGGCATATACTACATTCATGCCAAATTTCCTACTTGCAGCCAGAGAACCCAATGGATTTTCCTCTTCCCTGCTCATGCCTAGATAAGGGTGTGCAAACACAAAGCTATTTTGGGAGCATTTTTAGGCTAAGAACAGTGCCAGTGACAAGTGTCCAGATAAAGGGCTGCCAGGATAAATACCAAAGGCTGGGAACAATTGGGGAGCTCATCTTTGTCTCCAGCACCTCTCTCACCAGGGCTTATAAATAGTGAACTCACCAAGAGGCTCAGGTTACCTGAGTGAGCAGCAGGATGGTGGCCGTGGACGTTGGGTGAGGGAGTATTGCTCCTTCTCTCCCTTGCCCAAACAATAGCCATGAAGGGCTGGCAGCTGCCTGCCTGCAGCATGCCAGGACCATGGCAGGCTTGGGTTTCCCCTGCCCTGGCAATCCTGCCGCCATCCTCAATGTTTTCTGACTTGGAAGTCTTCATTTCACTCCTGGGGAGTGTGATAAACTGCTCTGCCCTGCTATGAACAAGCCCTTCCCCTGCCTCTCACTTCAAGTAGGAAGGATTTCCAGCTGGCTGTTGCAAAACTACTGCTCTTTGGCACAAAAGCACCAGCCTCCCCTGAAAGGCAAAGTGACACAGCCCTGGGCTGGGTTCTGCCCAGACCAAAACGTGGCAGGGATGGGTGTTAGTGGGAGACATCAGTGGGACCAGGCACTCTCTGCACAGGTCCTGTTGGGGGGTCATGTCTGGCTGGCTCCAGAAAGGTAATTGACCAGCACAGGAAGGAGAAGTCAATGTTTTCATGGATGCTACTGAAGGGACAGTTAGACACAATGGTGAAGTCAGCAATTTCAAATAAGCAGTACCTGCACGCAGGAATGGTGGCAAAGAGAGAAAAGGAGTTAAGAGATGCACAACACAGAGCTGATGGATTCCTCTTTGATCTCCTCTTTGATTATTTGAACTAATTCATGTTAACTAATAAGCTCCTGCTGATTGTCTGCAGGGAATGAGTAAGGGTAGGGCTTGGCGACAACCTACCAGCCCATTTGGCCAATGCCTAATGGCTCCATGGGCCACTTCTTTGGGGTGATACACAGAACAGGCTAAAGGGAACAGCAGCTGTTCAGAAGCAGAAACATTTGTGATAAACACTGACTCATGTGGAAGAAGACCAGCTTTTAACACTCTGGATAGTGCAGAGAATTCCTGAACCCAAGACTGAAAAACAACTACCAGTGATAAGTCTTGTCCACTTCTCCCTCCCCAAGGACCTCTCCAGCACGTCCCACCCCTGACCTGGCTTCAGCCCACAAATGAGCAGCCCTCAGCAGCACAGCCATGCCACTCTGAAGCCTGTCAGCAACAAGAAATTATCCCCAAATGGTTGGCAGAGACAAATGCTTTTCCTAGTTGGTCTCCCTGGCTTCTGCAAAGGCTACTTCTGCTGCGTAGCAGACACTGCCACTCTAGAGAAATTATGCTCACTTCAGAAGTCAGGAATACTTTTTTTAGAGGAAGAATCTCTTAAGACTACAAGAAGTTGTGATGTCAAAATCCCACAGGTCATGCATCCTGTAGCCCATGAGGGTGACCGTTGGCAGGCTTAGTTGACCTTTGCAAAGGTTGTTGAACAGTGTTACCTTTTAACCATTAGTGATGCAGAGGAAGAAAAATGACTTGGTCCCTGTGCTTTCCTTACAGGTTGAGCAGCTGACAGAAGAGCAAAAAAATGGTAAGTGGATCTTTAACCTGACACTGCAGCCCAGTGATGAGCTCCCCTGCCAGCAGCCCTGCCTGCCTCAGCAATTACACCCCAGAAAACCCCAAGGATTATGATCCACCAGCATTTCAAGAAAGGCAGTTTCCCTGAGTGTGTCTGGGTGCCCCCATCATGCCATGCCCAGGCAGTGCTAGAGTGCCTGGGACAAGCCCCTTGCCCAGGGGCTGCCTGCCTGCAGGGTCCAGGTGTGGGACAAGACCCCTCACATCTCCTCTCTCCTCTCTTCCCAGAGTTCAAGGCTGCATTTGACATCTTCGTGCTGGGAGCAGAGGATGGCTGCATCAGCACTAAGGAGCTGGGGAAGGTGATGCGAATGCTGGGGCAGAACCCAACCCCTGAGGAGCTGCAGGAGATGATAGATGAGGTGGATGAGGATGGTGAGAGATTTGGGGTTTTTTTCCAGTCTCCCAAGAACTGTCCCCAAGTCAGGAGGCGGGGGGGTACAGTGTGGGTTGGAAGCACTCAGCAGCTACACAACATGGGGCAGGATTTGTGCTGGGGACAGCCACAGCCTGTGGGGAGCAACCTGCAGTGCTGTGACTTTGAAGGACACTAAACACAGACCAGACTTCAGCGTGGTCCCTTTAGGGAATTTCCAGGCAAAGAGAAACTATAAAAATTATTATTCCTGTAGTGACTAGACCAGCAGATTACAGGTATTCTGAAACTGCACAGATCCATTTAAAAACCAGGAAATACAGGCTGAATGTACCAACTGCCAATTCAGAAATGGCACAATTCAAGGTGTCTATCAGCAGCTCAAGTGTGCACACACATAATCTTAAGACAGTTACCAGTGATCACACACAACAAATCCCCTGTGTGCAGGTTGGGCAGAAATACCATACTAAGTAATCATAAAATAAAATAGCAGTTAAAAAATAGACAAAAAAAGGGAAATAGCTGTACTGCTGATGCAAACATACACTGCATGAGGACCTGCATTCTGCAGCTTTCTTATTACCTAGATGAGACAGACAGGTATCTTCATAGCAGGAATTGTCATTCATTGGTGCTTCCAGTAGGACTTCTGTTTCCTTTTGCCTTGGCAAAATGATGGCTGCAGGTAAAAGTTCAGTGATGAAGTCATTCCATGGTCTCAGTCACCTAACACCAGTAGGCTCTGGCTATAGGGCTACTCTCCTGAGTTTTGCTCCTTGGTTACTTAAGGGAAGTGTGATCTCTTTCTTGGTGTTGCTCATCCACCCACCGCAGCACCAACTGATGGTGTTCATTCCATCTGCAGGCAGTGGCACTGTAGACTTCGATGAGTTCCTTGTCATGATGGTCCGGTGTATGAAAGATGACAGCAAAGGAAAAACTGAAGAGGAGCTCTCGGATCTCTTCAGGATGTTTGATAAGTAAGAGCCATGACTGCAGCATGGTGGGGTGGTGGGAGAGATGCAGCCACCCTGGCTGCCCCTGCCCGGCCTGTTAGTCTGTTCCTGAGCTCTTCTGTCCTCGCACAGAAACGCTGATGGCTACATTGATCTTGAGGAACTGAAGATCATGCTGCAAGCGACCGGAGAGACCATCACTGAGGATGACATAGAAGAACTGATGAAAGATGGGGATAAAAACAATGACGGCAGGATTGACTATGATGGTAGGAGCCCTTCTGACATGCAGTTTGGTCATGAGCCCTTCAGCATCCCCTGGGCAGCTCCCATGGTCTTGGGTGCCTTCAGGGACAGGCATGAGCTGGTGCAGGGAATACACCTGACCCCAGCCAGTGTTTGCACAGGCATGGGGGCTTCTTATGCTTATGAAATGGTAGCAGGAGCCTGGGGCTCCCTTAGCTCTCCCCACACTGCAAAAGCCAGCCTGCACTGAAGCAAAACAACCTGCTTGTCACCAGACACCTGCTCCCCTCCTGCCCCCTAAACACAAGCACCAGCTTCCAAGGGCTGTTTATTTCAACACGATGCTGCTGAAATAAACCGCAAACAATTTCCAAGCTGAGCTGAGGCCACGTCCCTCCTTGGCCACTCACCTCCAGTGTTCTGTTGGCAGCTGAGGGTGATGTTGGGCTTCAGTGACATTTTTAGGAAGAGTCACGAGGAGTCTCTGCCATGGCCAGAGGAGTGGTAGCCATTCCCATTTGGCCTCTCATGCTTCACGGGGTGGAAAAAGAGACAGGACTGGGAAAAGCTGCCAAGAGCACACCTGGCAGCTGTAAGGGCACTCAGGTCCCACCTCACTCCTCTTGTCTCTAATGTCTTTCACTTGGCAGAGTTCCTGGAATTTATGAAAGGAGTTGAATAAATCTGAGACCAGATCAACAGCTTGAATCTCCTACGTCCCTCCAGCACTGCTTCTCATCTCCTTGGCTAAGTCCTTTGGCTACCAGCATGAAGACTGAGCACTGAGAAGGGTGGCCACTGGGAAAATAAAATGCGTTAATACTGAGTGCCTCAGATGGTCATTCCTTGGAAGATTCAGGGAGAGCTTCATCCCAGTGTGTACTCCTAACTAATGGGGGCCACTCCTCGGGGCTGTGCAGAGTACCAGTGAACCATGTTTGGGAAAGTGACACCACAGCTGAAGCTTAAAGCCTCGGAGGAGGTTATTTGGCCACCAGCATGGAGACAACCCTCAGCCAACAGAACCACAAGTGCTTGGTGCAGAGCTGCCATATTGCATCTCCTCACCACAGGGCAGCTCAGGAGCTGGCACTGGTTTAACAGGAGCATCTGCATTATTTTAGCAATGAAATGAGAAGTAACAGTAACTTATGCCATCACCCACTGAAATCCCTGAGTGACAGATGCCCCACCCTGCTCCTATCCCAGCTGTCTTGAAGGGACACCCTTCCTCCCTGCCTGCCATCCTGACAGCCACGCTGTGCTGCATGCATAAAGAAGACCTATGTTTTCTTTGCAAACATGAATAAAAGCCATTCCTAAGCAGGCCTGAGTGCCTCCTTCCCATCTCACCCAGCCCTGTGACAGCCTTGGGTAGGAGACCTCACTGCAGTAACTGAAACACCCCATTTTCCCTCAGAAAACATGTCCATTTGGGCACCAGGGGCCCTGAGCAAGGTACAACCCCACTCTGGCTCTCAGCCCCCAGCTGTGAGGTTACAGCAGGGCCAGGCAGAATGAGCTGTGCTGATCCCATGGGCCCTGGGCACCATCTTCCCTCCTCCCAAGGAAGCATGGCA